TTTTCTTACTGGATACCTACAGCCTCCCCTATTTCTCTCTCTGGCCCTCTCACCTCAAATAGCTCAAATATGCAAGCAGTCTAGTCTTCCTCATTGTCTTCTACAAGCAGTTTGTTCATTTAGGTCTCCATTCACCCTTCCCAGCCTATATGCAAAATCACTATTGCCTTCCCCATTGACTCTTGTTCTCTCCTAATGTGGCTCCCGCCCCTCTTTCCACTGATCCAATTTTGACCTATTCTCTTTCTTGTTTCTTGCTGCTCAGATTCTCTTCCTTTATTCACTCTCAGATGCACCTCCTTTTGTCAAAATAGTTCAAAAACTTAGATTAATTTAGGTGTTCCTGAGTAATATACAGCCACTATAACCCCCCACCATAAAAATAGTTTACATGAAAATGGAAGAGTTGCCAGTGCCAGAAGGTTAGAAAAAATAGTATTCTCCAGAAGGCTTGCTGCTTTTGCCTACTTACCTTTATTAAGTTCTCTGCAAAATATAGTTTAATACTTGATTTAAAAACATGTATTTATTAAATCTCTGAGGATCTAATTGTTTAAAAATATTGATTTGCACTGCTTATGCCTGCATTCTAAAATAAAATTTTGAGAACAAAAAGTGAGTTTTACACATTAACCTAGTTATGCACACACTGGAATATCAACTACCTAAGATGTTAAATTGGAAACGAGTCATGCCAATCCATTTTACTATTGAGTTAGCTTTGTGTAATAATGGCAAAATTAAACTTTATGAATTTGAAATGTCAGTGTCTTAAATGAAATCTATACTCAAACAAAGTACTTACAAATTTTGAGGATGGAGAAAACATTACATATCTGTACCCTGGCAAACAGTGGCTTGATGGACTATATATTGCTGATTGTTGGTCTAGATCACTTTCCCCTTCCTACATCGTTATTACATTTGCTCTCTCAATCATACAGTACCACTTGGACTTGAAAGATTTGTGAAAATATTTGCTTTCTGATCTGTGATTTCATGGTAGTTATTTCAGAATTCTGGCATCCAGATTATCTGCTTCCTCCCCAAGCCAGAGCTTACTGAGTTCTGTTTCCATCTTATTCCCATTTCCATATCCTCATTAACCATGACCCTCCGCATCATTTCTTAGTGGAAACAAATACAAAACATTCCCTAAGATTTTGGGCTGTATCTATAGTACCTTTAAATGTCTATCCCATGCTCACTGCACAGTCACCTATCTTCTTCTGTCTTTTAACTCTGCTATTTGTTTTAATATTCTTTGCAAAATCTAAAAGCGGGCTTTTTTTGGATGGGATGCAAAATGAAGTTCGTCTAACTACTTATGGTCAATTAAGAATCTGTAACTCTTGTACAAAAAAGCAGGGGTGCTGGTCCTCGTACCTAGCCAAATTCTAGTTTGGCCAGCTCTATTCTGCATTCTCACTATGGGAAGTTCCTCTGAAAGGTTTATTTGAATAACTGAGATATCTGAAAACTTTCTGACCTTTTCCCAAAGGGTCACATAAGGATATTCTACCCTAGAGAGTACTGTATTTCAGTGGTTCGCGATCGGATCTGTATGTCTATTTTATAAAAAGCTTTTGGCTAAGAATTATTCAAATTATATTGCTATTAATAATTTTACTAAATACCTCAAGTGGAGGAAATCTGAAAAGAAAAAGAAGAAAAGGTAGTAAAGAAGCAACTATTTTAAAAGATTTAACCTGCCAAAGCCTTTTTGAAAAGGAAGAGTGAGGGGAAGAGAGAGTAAAAAAAGTATGTTGGGGCTGCCATCTTGAGGTCTTCAGTGGAAAACCTGCACTGTAACAATCTGCAACTCAGTATTTCTTAAAGATGAAGAAAGTAAGCTGGAATTTAAGCTTTTTTTTTACTTCATCTTTATTTCAATTACCCAAAAAAGTGTACTGGAGTACATTTACATAAAATTAAAAATATGGGCTGAACTTTTAACATAACAGAGTTATGAGTATGATGCTGTCATATGTCTGAGTAAGTAATCTCATTCCCCCTCTTTGCCTCCAGTTGGCCTGCAAAATCCTAAAACCAAATCATGATTCACTTTTTAAATTCTAATAACTCATCTGGTCAATTAGATTTAAGTGCTCTGTGGCTGCTCTCTGCCACTACACACAATCAATCCTTTCCAGCAATTTTAATAATCAGAAATAATTCACTGTTGGCTGAAATATAAATTCTGTAAGTTACTGACTTTACAGGTGCTTATTTGTTATGCAAATAAGTACACAGTGGTATAACGGCATAGAGTTTTGTGAGCTTTATGACAACACATTTTGGCACCGTGTTAACAGATTTCAAGTGTTTCTGTCCCTGCAACTTTCATTCTACCTTCCTCATACAAACCCACTAACATTTTCATTTATAGCAACAGGTTATATTATTGGAGATCTAAAAATGTAAAATCTACACAGCACTGCTATTTCATATATAATCATGTAAAAGTGATATGCAATACAGATTTCACCAAGCAACCTGCTTTGCATACATTTTAATGAGAAAAATCTGTCTACTTTTATAATTTAATATGTATGTTGTAAAAAGGCCTTCTCAGAGAAAATAAACTATATTTAAGCACACAATTTTTACTGATATACATATGACAGTACAGAAAAAAAACATTGGCAGTCGAAAGAATGTTGCAAAAAGTTGGGGAGTATGCTTAATAGTGGGCTTTGAAAGTTACTATATTTATTAGAAAAAATATTTGTAGCATGTGTATTTTAATATAACATGCCAAACACATATGCAAAGTCATCTAATAATGTCTAAATGATTTTTGTTCTGCTAATACTGTATATATTTATAAAAGCAGGTGCGACTGTGACCAAGGCTGCATGAACCACTGGACGAAGTTCGTCTCAATTTTAAGCCCACTTTTCATTAAATGAGGGATATTATAATAAAACACTGTACCGTATAGGCTTGGTTTGGAAATTCATTAGTAAAACAGTCTAATACCAGGAACCTCAGTCCAGCCAGCAAGGGCATATTCCTATCTTTGAGAGAGAAGCAAATGAGAGTGGAAAGTTCTTTTAAATTCAAAGATGATGGAAAATTTTATTGCATTGTCTCCATCTATATATATATGTTGGAGCAAAAAGTATTTTCGAAAATCTGATCATTATCCCAGCATCTTAGCCAATAGGCCCATTCACCTGGTCTGTGATACCTGGTATGATGATCTCAGGGACATCCAGAATGTTGCCAAATGAAGCAGTTTTACGATGGCCTCGTTTAGGCTTGGAATAGGCTGAAAAAATACACATATACAATACACATGCAAACAACTACAATGGTAACAGCAAAATTATTAAAAATATATCACGCTGCAATTTTCATATACTTTTGTTAAACTATATTTCATGCAAAACATCATGCAGAATAAACTGCATAGTCTATTCATGCTTACAAACAGTTAAGCAATTGTTAAAAGCAAACACAGAAATAGCTGTCAATACGAACACAATATAATTAGTTGAAGTTAGCAACACAAAACTCAACAAAGAAAGCAGCATGGCAATGAGGAAGGGAAAGCTAAAAATATAATTATAAGAATTCAGGACAAATTTGCTTGTTCCACTTCACCTGCACATTAAATATATATATCCTTGATTATTTTAGAAGTTACACATTGCCTCCACAGTTTTGTTTTAGTCTCAGACATATACTGGTTTATCAAAAAGTTTACGTTTTCAGGTTGGATGTTTCATTTCCATAAACTGTAATCGCCTGCAAAGTAAAATCTAAACAGTGTCAAAGATGTCTGCTTCATTACCAGATTTGAAGGATTATTTCTGTCTTGTATATGGGGTTCTATGAGTGAATGCTTTTTACTTTGTAAACTGGACATTCTGGGCCAACCTACATACTCTAGAGCAGGGGATCCAAAGCTGTGATACACATATCCATGGGGGTATGCAAGACATCTCTGGGGGTATGCAGGAGAAAGTGTGTAATGGATTAAATTTTTATTATAATAATAATTGGAATTCAAGGAGTTAAAATATAAAATGTATGTTGGTAGGGGTACACAGGCAGCTGGTAAATCTGGAAGAGGGTACACAATAAGAAAATGTTTAGGAACCTTTGCTCTAGAGCAAAGTGCACTGTTCCATAAACTTATGAAATTAATGGAAAAAATTCTTCATGCTGAAGTAGAAATGTTTATGGATTGCAATCACATTAACAGTATAAAATAAACCTATAACTGTTCCTTTTGTCCCTTGAGGCTGGAGGAAGAGGTGGTAAAACTCAGGGCCTGTATTAAGATTAAATATAGAACTCCCATTAAAATGTGTGTGAATATCTCTCCCAAAAGCAGACTGTTGTAGCATATTTTAAGTTAATACACACACATGCACCAAAAAACTCCAAAAATATTTGACACGAATGTGTGCCATCTGATTTGTTTCTATGGCAAGTCTAATAATAGGTGGAACAAGAGGATTAGGCAATTCTTAAAATATCATTTCAATTATTTATTCTTGACAATACCCCTCTCCACTTAGCAATCCAATTTCTTTGTTTGGTATCTCTATGTTTTGTCCTCTGAAACAATAACTAACCAGATAAAGAAACTGGTATTTTAACTCTTACCAACAAAATTCATGAAAACACGTTTAAGATGATGTTGAACAGATTTTTATCAGCCTGGTGCTGACTGATGCAAATTCTGCTTTCCTGTTACACTTGGCTTAGTCCAAATGAACTTTAGACAAGAGAAAGGCAGAGGGTTGTTAACTTTAACATACACTTAGATAATTATTTCTAGTTGTATCTAGAATTTAGTTAAGACAACAACAAATGGGGAAAACTGCAAGCTCCCGTGGATAAGAACCAGAGTTAATTCCATTAATGTTAAATGGGTTGCATTCGTTTTTATACCAGTGAGAGTTTAGAATGGCCCAGCATTTTTAAAAAAACAACACAAGCAGACTAAGTACATACTAGGGATGTAAATATCATTAAAAAATTATCCATTTAACCGTCTCTAATTATATCGGTTAAACAGTTAACTGATAATACAGCTTGGACACAGCTGCTGCTGGAAGCTGCTCCCCAGGACCTTTGACCAGGGAGGAGGAAGAGGCAGTGGAAAGCTCCACCAGACCACACAGCCCACATGAAGCTTTCCCAGCCTGCTTCAGCCCCTGGTGTGCTGATTGGGAAGGAGCACTTTTCAATGAGCAGCTAATTGCTTAAGTGAAAAGTCATTGCTAGGCTGCTGTTTTCCTCTTTAACCTCACAGGCTATGGGTACTGGTCCCCTCTCACCCCTCCCCTTCTTCTTGCTCCCCTCTTCTGCCTGCCCTCCCACGTTTTTTATTCCTGAGGCACCATTTCTCTTTCCCACCAGACTGCGCCCCATACTAAACGTTAACTGGTAATGCATTACCAGTATAAATATACTTATTGTTTAAACGTTTAACCTTTAACTCCTCTAGTAAGTACGCAGTTGCCTTTGGTGCTGGTGAGACCTTCCATAAATGTATACTACAGGTTGAGGGTGTTAGAGAACTGACTGCAGCATTGAGTCCAAGAGTAAATAAATAAACCAGAAGCCTTGGTTCAATACTCCTATGTTAGACCGGGGTGCTCAACTTCCAGTCCACAGGCCAGATCAGGCACCCAAGGCCATGTTGTGGGTTTCTCCACAGGTCCAAAAATTTGTCAGCAGGGTACTGGTGGCAGCATTTATTGCAGCTATCCTGCTGCCAAATTTCAGGACCTGTGAGGAGCCTTGCAAGCAGGATGCTGATATAGTGCACTAGATCGCACTGGTGCACAGGGTCAAGCCTGAGCATGGCTGGATAGCACCCGTGGACTGACCTTAAGTGCTGCACTGGCCTAGCACCACTCATCTGGCCCCTAGGGCCAGGAGGTTGAACACCAGTGTCAGACTGTAAGCTCTTCAGGGAATGGTAACATGGCATCCTATACATCACAAAAAAATCTTTGGAGGTTGCCACGATAATAAACACAATAAAAACCAACAGCTTTTCAGCTGTTGTGAACAAATCAGAAGCTTAAGCATATTATAAAAAGTGTTACCTTATTATTCCCAGTTTTCTAAGCAATGGAAAGCTATTGGCTCACTAGGGTAAGGTCTGACCTCATGTAATTTGCTTGGATTCTCTAAATTGAGAGCTATAGTCAATAAAAATGTCTTTTTCATAGTCACTGAAACGAAATATAAATGTTTGCAAACAAGCTAACTAGCTGTGACAAGGGACTCTAAGTGTCTGGTTGCTAGGCATAGTGAAACACTGTATCTATAATTTGCTTATTTGGAAAAAACAACCACACAAATACCTACATGGTATTTTCACCATGTAATTCTGCGTTTGTGCCTGCATCCTAAACTCGCATCAAGGACCCACTACACAAAAGAAAGACTACTCCCTGATGCAAACCTGGTGAAACACATGGCTAAAACACTTTACTTTTTAGTTTTAGGAAGAAATGGAAAGATTATCTTTGTACCTCGTCTTTTCTTTAAGGTAAGTACAAAACTGAGCATTTAGATATTTTCTATGAAAAGGTATTTTTCAATTTACTTTAAAATAATAATAATAAAGTAATTTATTTAGAAATAGTACTTTAAAATAATTATTGCATTTCAAAATAATTGAATGTTGTATCAAGTGAAATGTAATCTTAATAATAAAAAACAAGAATGGCAAGAGCATACCATCCATTCAGAAGCAGAGACAAACTTTTACTTATGAAACAAGGCTGATATGTAACAATCGAATAAAAAACAAATTTTCATTTGTAGCCAAAAGCCCAAATGTGAAAGAAGTAGATTGCTTCATATCAACTCTGAAACAACAGACATACTGTAAAAATAAAGAATCCATGCAAGTCTCAATTCCCACCCATTTTCATTTAATGAAAAAAAAGACTTAACAACAAACCTTGTACAAAAATATGTACATTTGGAAGCTCCCCCCACTCCTTTCTTAAATTTTTTTTACCTGTGGTAGCAGCAATTCTTGCTTCTATTTCAGACATGTCGGCACTCATTCTCTTAGCGCCTTCCCCTGAAACAAGGGTTGACTGTGGTCGTCCACGAACATCAGACAAGCTCTCCACACTACTTCCACGAGATGGAGGTAAACTTAAACGACCAGGGTCACCCTGTTAAAACAGGTGTCACACTTAAAAGAAAAAAAATGTTTCTAGACAACCCAAAAACTGATTTTTGAGCTTACCTCTATATTTAGAGCAGATTGATAAAGAACCGTGGCGAGGGAAAAACCGTCACTATATTATGCAACACATTTTAAAAATGCCACAATTTTTAAAAATTAACCTCTACGTTTTTTTAAAACAAAACCAACTTTCTTACTGCAAATGTATAAACTGAACTAAAGGAGTTGCATCAATGGGAAAAGAATTAGGACAATGCTGAACCATAATGATTTTTCTTTTTCTAGCCTACCCAATACTCAGTTTTATGTTTTCTTACCTTTTCTCAAATACCAGTCTTTTGGTCTCAGTACTAGCTTTAAGATATGGAGTTCTAACAGGTAAATCTGATACTTTTTAATAAAAATAATTCCTTTCATTCTCAAGTATGTTGAATTCAACTTTCATTGATCATGTATTATTACTGGAGATCCCCAATTTATCTTTTTGATATTATTTGTAATTTTGTATAAATCTTTTGCATCCCCTCTTATCCTTTTCCCATTTAAACTTTTTTTCAGATTCTCAGTTTTGAGAGACTAAAAAGGCACTACACACTGTACCAGGAGTGCTCAACCACCAGCCAGTGGGTCAGATTGGGCCTCCAGTGTTGTGTCATCTGGCTTGTGGGACACCACACAGATCCAAAATTTTCAGACCCACGGGGAGTCCTGTGGACTAGATAGTGCAGTACCAGGCCCAATCCTGGCACACAGAGCCAGGTGGTACAGGGCTCAATTCCAGCTTGTGGGGCCTGATTCTAGTATGCGGGGGGCAGTATGGGATCTCAGAACCCAACCCTGGCACATGGTGGGCTGGGTGGGGCCCAATATTGGTGTACAGGACCAGGTACAGGCAGTGCAAGGTCTGATCCTGGCACACAGGGCCTGATCCAGCCCACGGACTGGCCTTGTACCACTCATCTGGCCCACAGGGTCAAGAAATTGAGCACTACTGCTGTATACAATGTTGGATTTTAGAGGGTTGGAAGGGTGCCCTCTGAAAAACATGGACAGTTTCCCTTTGGTCATTTTTGTGCTCTGCCTGCCTCTGCTCTCTTGAACAATCTGCTTTGCTCCTTGCACTTACTACCATCTACCATGGATGTACTTGAGAGCTGGCTGGAGCACTAGTCTACCTTAACTCAAATACCTTCTGGAGAACCTTGTTTTTCCTTCTTTTAGTAGGGGCCAGGATCTCCCAAGGTGACTACTGGTACCTTTCCTCTCCTTGGAACTCCATCTATGGAAGACAGCTATGTCTGCTCAACATTTCTTTTATAAGGAAAGCTACTGCAATAGCTTTTACCAGGAAAACTGTTTCCCTACAACAACTGCAAATGAAGAAACAGCAGATCTCCATGGATCATTAATAGATGCAGAATAGTTTGAGTTCCTGTTATAAAAATCTGTAGGTAAGAGGTTTTCTATCTTATTATAAAACCATATATTTATTTATTTTTTTAATCCAGCTAATACCACTATCATCCTTAAGGCCCAAGATTTTACTGATTTGCTTACTGGCTGCTTTGCTGCATTTTTCATTTGCTGGGCTAATTTTGATTCTAAGCGTTTAATGGTATCATTGGTAGCAGTTCCTTGAATGTCAGCAGGTTCCATGTTAGCATCACTCTTGTTACTAGTGTTTGTAGACGTGATGTCCATGAACGAGCCTATAAAAAACAAAAGCATTTTTTGTATTTAACGAAGAATTCACTTCTCTTTGAAAAAAGACCAAGTCAAAATTCAGTTCTTTACTTAATCATTCAGTATTTCCTGCTTTTTTATATTAACTTTTTTAACATTTTGATGAAAAAAATTGCAACCTCACAATAATTCACTTAAATACCATATTTACTCAAATACAAGACAACCCCCTAGTAAGTAGATTTGACACACAGAAAATTTATCAATTTATTATAATTTTCCATGTATGCAATCTTATTATTGGAGGATCATCTTCAACTCATCCCCCACGCTACTGCAGGTGGGTGGGGAAAAGTGATGAGAAGGGTCAGTACTGGGGCAGGTGGTGTAGGACAGACAGTGGGGGAGGCAGTAGGGAGCAGGTGGTATGGAGGTAGTGAGG